CTATGATAGACTCTGGTCAACATTCCCAGCACAAGGGTCAAGGGAGTGATAACGACAGTGGGGAGTGTGTTTTTCATGAATGCCGCTCGAAGGGGCACACGACACTACATTAAGAATAAGCACGGTAAAAAAACTGTGACAGGGAAGGCATGATAGAAGGATATAGGAAATGTGAATAGGCCAGGGCAGAAGGGGAGATACCATAACTGTTTAGCACACGTGGTCAATGGATCGAGCTTCAGTCATTCCTTTGACCGATTGTAATATGGTGCTACGAATGGCGAGACTCACTGACGTTGCCCACTAAGATCCCAGCGAAACGTCTGGGAATGTACCACGTCCAAGGTCCTACTCTGGAAATGATGATGCATACAATGGACTCCATACTAGGTGCGTTCCTCTAAGTCTTCCACTAATATGACCGAGTTGCGAAAACAAGGTCAAACAACCTTTATACAAAATTTTAGAAATCAAATGGAGCATCCCTTCAACAATCTATCAAGGGAGAAACCAATATAATATTTTTTTCTGTTAAACCCAACTAGTGAGGTTGGTCAAAAAATGTGCTATGATAGTTAACATATACTTTGATTAGTTGTATTTTTTCTTATTCTTTAGGATGATTAAAAACTAGTACTTAAAATTTTCCACAATGATATGAGTATACCTTACGTTTCCAATAAATTTCACATAGCCTTGCTTCTCAAAAGGTATTCTCCTCCAGAGTGGACTCGCCTAGATCTCATTAGCACCTCCAGCAGGACTCAAGCCGTTGTATATAGCTCATAATCTCGAAATTTAATTACAACGCCACACTACCACGACTGTCCTTGGGTCATAGGGCAGATATGAATTGAAACATAGACCACATCACATTCGTAGCAGCGACGTTTTGCTTAACATATCGAGATCATACGTTGCACTAATATAGTTCGAGTCCTGCTGCAGGTGCTGATGAGACCTAGGCGAGGTTGAAACTGCAGTTCACCTTGGATGATATAACCTCTGGGGAAGAAGCGCTATGTGAAATTCAATGAAAACGTAAGGCTTACCTCATATCGCTGCGAAAAACTTTAACTACTAGTCCCCTTATCACCTAAACGAAATATAGGTCGAAACTGCTGTACAACATATATTAAAAAGCCTTTTGGGAGATAATCTAAGTAAACCAATTTTATCACAAGACTTAATAATCTCCTTATGGGGAAAGCCCAATTAACACTCCTTAAATCACCTCAGGCGACCTACGATGACTTTGCTATAATTAGAGTAAAGATTTTAAAAAATGGCAGCCTACGATAATACCTTAATTACATCCATCGTGGTTATAAGTGATCCTGTTCCGCGTGTAAAGTTGGTCATCTCCATCATGATGTCACACATCTGCTTTGCAAGGAGCACAATCTCGTTTGCAGAATCGTCCCATTTGACAACCTCTCGCATGAAGCGATGTTTCTCCTCCAGGAAGCCAGCCATCTCATGAGCAATGATCTCCCGCTGCTGTTCAGGTAGTAGGATCATTAGATCTCGCGAAGATGTAATTGTTGGCGCCTCGTCTAAATCTTTTGGCTTCAGTTGACCGTCAACACTGGGGGAAACTTCCGAACCATTACTGATAGGAGGCTCACTACTGATATCTGAGAGAAGAAGGTAAATGGGTTGTTTTCTCTTAAAGCTTATATTCGGATAAGAGCTTCGAACTGATGGAGGTAGATTCGGAATATCATGGTCTGACTAAGAGTTGGTAACCAAATATGCTATTAATCAGCTTCCACTAGAAATTAATATGAAAAAAAGTGGCAATTTAATTTCAAATCGGACTGTTTAAACCGTCTTTAGTAGGAGCTAAGGTTCGGAGTAATAAACAGAAAAGTGAATTTATTGTAGCAGGCATAATTACGTAAGAGAAAGTGAAGCATAATTAGCGTCGTGAGTTATGATTTTGAAGGTTTGAAAGAAAATTGGACTAGAGGCCTGATTATTGAAGAGGTAAACTGTGCCCCTCCGAACCATAATGGACTGCATTCGACGCCCAGTTGGATTGATGACTAGTCAGAAGCAAAGTGAAAATTACAGTGTGCAATAAATGACAGTGAGAGTAAAAGTCCTTCATGCGATTCCTCGCAAGGATATCAAATATGGTTGTCTAAAGAATAAAATGAGCATATTTTTCTTTCATAAATAGGGTTTCGAGTAATGTCGTAGATTATCGTGGCAAATATAACTTTCCTTAACCGACAATCCTACAAAAGAATACGATATGGAAAAATGACTGGCAATTTCCGGAAATTCACATCAGCCTTGTGACCCAAGGGAACTCGTGGCAATGTGGCGTAGTGGTTAACGTGTCAAGGTTACACGCTGC